TTTTAAGTTTGATGAATCCTAAGATCTTTTTGTCAGTGCGTCCACGCCAGTAATAGTAATATTTCTGTCCAGTATTTGTTTTCAAGGCAACACCTCAAAAAGTCGTTTCAATAAATACAGCTATGTATGAATTCAGTTGCTTATAGTTATGTATCAATTGAAGACACTATCCAGATCATACACAGCCAGTCAGCCACTGGTAATGGCTGTATCTTTTTCTTACAGTGTTCAGTGAAAATATCGCAATGCATCGCAATATTTCAAGTATCGTGATGCATCGTGATAGAATCGCATCGTGGCATGTGAATCTTGATTCGAATCGAATCATGACTTCTTTGCCAATACCCACCCCTACTCCTGACTATGGTATCCGTAATGCTGCAAGCGCCATGGCTTTGTATCCAAATATAATGAAAAAACAGGGCAATACTTTATTATATCAAGAGAGCCAAAAGCCACCCATGGCTCAGGACACACTGATCTAGCAGTTACTTCAGTACAGAGGCCATAACAGGGGCCAGGACCAGTTCTAGAGGTACATTGGCTCCTGTTGGCCCCTGTCTAGATCCGCCCATGTTTAAGGAGATTCCTGGTCTGGACCTAAAATCCAGAAACAGATCAATTTAAAAGGTGAAAAGATGCTTAAAAATGGACTGATGGACTGATCCCACTGAGGGAAACATACAGCTTTTTGCCACAGCAGCAGCGTCTGTAGCAATAGTGAATATTCATTGAAGCAATGCCTGATCCACTGTATTTTGCTTTGCAACGCTGCTGCCAAGAGGATGTGTTTCAGGCATGTAGGTAGCCTCCTTTACCGACACCAATTCAAAATTAGAAACAGAATTAAATGCTCTAACCAATTAAAGATTGTCTCGTTTGGATCAGTACTCTATCCCGCTCTAGTCACATCTGTCGAATTGGAGCAAATAAAATCACATCTTTGATTACAAGTTATGGTTCACTTCAAAAAGTACAATGTGGAGGAAAACTTACTAGACAAAATAAAGTCCTTTTAGGGTTTTAAACAAAGAATCTTCCTGTACGAATGCACCGTTAAGATGAGAGAAATTTGCGCTAAAACTGTTCTTAAATATATTTGCTTTGATATAATTCTCACTCTGCAGGTAGGTGGTTGTGTAACAAAAACACTACAGAATATTATTTAAGCATTTATTTTTATTTCTCACCAGATACCACTTTACAGTATTATGTGAAACCTAAAACTCTAGAATTGTTTTGGGGTGCACTGACACATCATCCCCTCACCACCTAAGACCCCTTCTTAAGAGTGATCCACCTTAAGCCTACTTACATGCACTTGTGGGAGCGTGTGAAATGTTCCAGTCCAAGCGTCTGCAGCGGCTCAGGCTATCTGCAGCATCCTCTAGGGCCTATCTGACGGGCTGGCAGTCGCCTGATGAGAGGGAGACGGTGACAGGCAGAGAGAAGGGAGGGCGGCTGTCACCTTCGCTTTAACTGGAAGCTTGATTCTCATCCTGCAGAAAGAGGAACAGCTCCTGATGGCTGTAAAAGCATGACCTAAGATGGAGTGTTACTGTTGAGAAGATATTTTTATGCTTAAATGGCAATTTGGGGCTGTATTTTTTAATAGGCATTTTTCTTATAACCTTTGCTGCAACCCAGTGTCCCTTCTTAATGACTAATGCTTTTCTATGTATGTAGGTCCAAAAGTTTGACTAGGGTTTTTCTCTTGTTATATAAATTGGACTTGTTTTTGAATTTTCTGCTCTTGATCCTTCAATGAAAGATAAACATGCACCTGGACAGATGACTGAAGAGTCTGTTATATCTGCATGCAGCAGAAGTATTCTCTAGGTAGTTGCATGATCTTTAGTTTCATGTGAAAAATGAGGCTGTGAGTAAGCGATACAGAAGATGAATGCATATGCTCTAAAAGTACAAAGCTTTGTGTGATAACAATCGTTTCCTCATAGAATTGGCGTCTCCAGTCACCTTTACCCTTTCTCCCTAATTTGTTTTATGTTTACACATTACCTTATTGCCAAAAAAATAAAAAGTATGAGGCTGTTAGATCACCTAACTACTGGTATAAGAGGATAAACACTTTCCTTTCATGGTGGGGTGCAGCATTTATCTTAAACTAGAGCTGAAACAACCAAAGCATGTTTGCAGTTGTGAACTATTTCTGTGCCTGGTTTTCTTTATGTGTGCTCGCCTTTTCAAGCAATTCTAAAGAGCGCAGTTCTTTCAAAAGGGATTAGTTTGTTTTCAAATATCCTGCCTGACCCTCACTATTCATGCTAACAGCCATTTACTAAAATCTAGGAAGCTGAGGGAAATTCCAGACTAGTAAATACTTGTTTTAGACTTTAATACAGCACATCACTGGCATTTTTAGAGTGTTATTACTAAGAGAAATGAATAATGACTGATTGTCATCTGAAGAAAACAATGGTTCTGCATTCTAAATGCCTTGTACTTTGGTAAAATAAAAGTACAAATTCTTATATTCTTCATGCTAGTTAGATAGAGACATTTTTGAGCAAAACAACACTGAAGAACGTTCTTGTAAGAAATGTTTGTCAGATTTTAAGACAATACTTTCCACATAATTACTATCATATGCCCTAAAAACAGATCTGTTGGGTGAAACAACCAATCTAGTTTGGTTGTGTTTTAACCAATCTATATTGGTTAAAGGGCAAGATAATGCAAATTGGTCACTTTGACAAAAACATTGGTTAATTACTGAAATTACATTGAAAGCCAGAATCGGGGTTTGAACCAACAACTCTTTGGCTGCGGGGGGACATCTGATGCCTCCCACAGCACAGGAATCCAGCTTTGTTTTTGTGCAGTCCCATGCACAACAACTGCCAGGCGTTCTATCAGAACCAGCAGTAGCTTCTTCAGCAGTCTGAGCCGCAGTGGCTCATTAAAGCCTCACCACATGTAGCAGCCTTTGCTGCCCACATGCATCAGTCATCTTGGCCATGTTGCTGGTTTAACACTGCTTCATTGTTAGATTGCCTCTGATCGATATTGACATTGTGATCGACAAGAGCTGCCGCTTTAGAGATGGAAAAACCAGGCCTAGAAAAACTCAAAATCAAATACTTTTGTTCGATAAAGGAAAAACTTTTATGTCACTAATAGGACTCAAACTCTCTAACATGCTGTTATAATGAATATACACAGTTAGCTAGCTAGATAGATAGATAGATAGATAGATAGATAGATAGATAGATAGATAGATAGATAGATTCTCAAATGTTGGTTGAGCTTGATAATGATTTTCGATGACAGGCTTTGTCTTAGTCAGCACTCTCTTAGTCCATGGTGGAGTAAATATGCTTATCTGTAAACATTGACACTTGTGTTTCTGCAGGTTCCAGTTCATAGCAGGGTTGAACTTTGGTTGTTTTTCTGGGTTTGTTTCTAAACATCCCAAAAGCACTTCAACTAAGAGAGAAAGTTTGGGTGATAAACTTCAAACTTGTACAAAATTTTGTGTCTTTTAACATGGCAATAACCTTGCATTTATTAATCTGGAATGACCTGATCTGAATCTTGTGAATAATTTGTATGAATATTGGGACAACAGCAACTTTAAATCGGCTCTGCTATTTTGAAAAGCAAAGTGGGCAACAGTTAAGACAGAACTACGCCAGAGGCGTGTTGATGACTGGAAAACTTGTCTTACATGGTAAGGATTTTCCTGTACGTAAACAACACGTAACTGTCTGAAAACAATAATATGGTCCCAGCTCTGACTAAAAGGTTTTTTAACTTTTTTGTTGTTCTTTTTGTAAGAGCATATACCAGTGTAATATTTTTTTTTATGTAGAGAAGTCCTAAAAACTTTAGGATGATGTAGGTCAAACAATTAGCCAAAGAAAGGTGTAAGAAACTTTAACATATTTGTAACAATTTAAAATCTGTGTTTAGTTTCCAGATTAAAAGTGGTAGAATATCATAATAAAAGATAGGTAAAAAAAAAAAAACAACAACAAAAAATAAGCTATGAAAAAGATGGATTTAGAAAAGGGAAATTGGGTTACAGGTCACAAATTTTTCTAGATAGTTTGTGCTTTTTTTTAATTTAGTTTATTTCATCCAAGATTGGAATACAATATATTTACCTGTATGTTTGTTTTCTGTCTGCATTTGCAAACTTTGTGCAGTTATACCCAACATAAATCACAGTTTGTTTGGTTTTGTTTGTTTCTTTTTCTTTTGTTTTTATTTTTTGACATTAAATTGAGATAGAAACTATATTATAGGGTGGAATGCTTTGATGTTTTTAGGAAAATATAATAAAAATATATATGTATATAAATAAATAAATCAACTAATTTCGCCTATTAGTGGTCATAATGTTATGACTGGTCGAAATATGTCTTAAATATACTTAGCCAGTAGAGGGCGCTCTAAACTACTGGAACTCAATGATTTGGAAGCGCTGTTTTTTACCCTTTAAATCTTAACCTTACAAAATAAAAAAAACGCAATAAATTGTAGATTTTAATAGACTTATATTGCATCATAAATTAAATCAGCGCAATTTTCTGTACAATAATGTTCTACTCTAACAACCAGTGAGATCTAAAGCTGCTTTTTTCATTGCCTGTTAACCTATAAGCAATCTAAATATAAAAAAAATCAAACATAACGTGTGTTGAAATGTTTTAGTTTATAGCGCGGCAGTAGGCGCGCAAAAATGTCATAATTGAGCTTGCAATTAAGGGGCGCACCACATTTGAATTGCGCTCAGCTCATTGTGACACCTCTGCAGCAGCATTTAATTAAAGTCGAGCCTCGCTTTGTTTGCGCCCTGTAATGCGGCTTGTCTAAAGTGAACCTCAATAGGACAGAAATTTCAAGTTTTGTGAGGAGGAGGAGGAGGAGGAGGTGAAGGAGGAGGAGGAGGAGGAGCAGGGGGGGTATTATACTATTGTCCGCCCCTTAATCCGGTTGGCTCAGAGACTGCCTGCAGGCCAATTTGTAAATGGTTTGTGGAGCTGCCAATCAAAGCAGACATCCTCTCCTCAGGCTGTGACTGCGAAACATCTCAGTTGCTGTGTGGAGAGATTTCACGGAGGAACCCTCCCGTGCGTGGAGCCATCAGTGCGCCGCAATCCGTAATGCCTCGGTGAGGATCTGCCACGGCGGAGAGCACAGCAGCGCCTGTGAAATACTGTGGATTTTACATGACAGCAGAGGAGGAAACTGCTCACCGGCTGTTTGTCTGTTTCTTATCTGCCCCCCTCCCTCCCTCACATGTCACTCTAATTAATCGGAGGCATGTGGAACCGCACCAGGATTAGGAATCACCTCCCAATAGTGTGCCTGCTGTTGACGTTATGGACCAAGGTAAGGATACTGTTATTTCTATCCACCCTAAACACGCTCTTATTTATGTATCTAAAGATAAATAAAATATATTAAATGAGAGGAAACTTGGGGGGGAGGTATTAACTGCATTTTCGCATCACATTAATGGATAATTGAATTACGCAGCGCTTTCAGTTGTGCAGCATGTGATCGCGATACCATGACATGACTGGAGTCTGATAGAGGCTGCTCTCCATGTTTGATTCTCAGTCTCATAATCCTTTATTTATGAGAGGGGGGGAGAGAAAAGGCCCGGAGTGAACAAGTTAGAAGTTGCATCGCCTTGTTTTCCTGCAGCAGCTGTTAATGAGCAGAAAGCGACCTGCTTGTGTGAAATCCCTGCATGCAAAGTTGGAAGTTGCTGCTTTGCATCAATTGGCCGCTGCGGTGGATCGTTTCGCTCACCTGCTTCCATCAGGCTGGGATGGAAAAGCCTCATTGCTCCTCATTTGGACCCAATTAGACCAGCTTTACATCTTCACGCCTGTCGCGCCACCGATGGTGAATGCGCGCGCGTGTGACCTGAAACCATCCATATGACACCTTATGCACACTTACTATACCTCCTATCAGTCTAAGTTTTAATACATTTCAAGGATTGTTTATTTTCTCTTTCAATGTTTCATTAAAGGGAGGGAGGGACAAATCACACATAATTAAAGTCACTAATGTGCAATTGCTTTTTTTTAATAAAACGTACACACCTATATTGCACCCCTGAGGATGCTGGGTAAATATAAAGTCTGCAGACTACAGAACCAGAAGGATAAAAGCTGCAAATCTTTGACCCACTTTAGTGATCTGCCTATCTTTACACCACCAAAGTGGACTCACATGAATGTGTAAAAAGTCTGCACACTTAAATTATGATTTTGTCCTCTTTTTCCTTGTATATGACAGAACCAATCATTTGGGGTGCAACTTCCTTCACCCAGATTAGCACCACAAATGCTATTGTGGGTCTATGAGGAGAGAGGGCGGGCTGCATTTAATTTTGGCCCCGTTGTTTCCAGGTGTCCCAGTCAACCGGCTATTTTGAGCTGCAGCTGATCTCTGTGGAGAATGTGAACGGCGAGCTGGCGGACGGGGAGTGCTGCGATGGCCCCAGGAGTCCCCAAGACCTGCACTGCAGCCTGGACGAGTGCGATACTTACCTGAGAGTGTGCCTGAAGGAGTACCAGCAAAAGGTCACCACCACCGGGGCCTGCACGTTTGGAGCCGGATCTACGCAAGTTCTTGGTGGAAATATGTTTTCTTTGGAGACCGCCAAGAATAACGCCAATAAGATCAATGAGGCCGGCAAGGTTGTGATCCCCTTCCAGTTTGCCTGGCTGGTAAGTAAGCGAACACCTGTTATGTCTGATCATTTTTCCACCATGGTAGTCAGGTTTTTTTCTTTTCCTGCAATTTTTGGTCATCTACTTAAAATTCAGAATGCATTTGGAAATTTGGAGGAGCATTAAAACCTGATATAACTAAAGTAACCCAAAAAAAGACATCATTATAGCTGCACATTATCATATTTAAGGGATCTGCAATTGATGATTTCTCCTTTTATTAAAGCCTATAAATGTATGCACTGCCTTTCATACTAATCTTCAGAACACATCCTTAAGTAAGCTGATAATTGCAGTTTTCTTAACGTCATCTGCTTAAAACTCTGTTTACGTCATGGAATCGACATCAGATTTTTCCTCCAAGGTCTAAATGTCAGTTTTATCTGTTAAACCGAGATCTTGGCTATTTTCTCAAATTGCTTTTGCCAAACAAGGATATTTGGATGTTTTAAAGGCAAAAATAGTAAAGTTTTTTTTTATAATTATCTGATCAGAGGAACACAATGTTTTATAGTGACCTTTGGTCATATCTTAAAGTTGCCTCTAAATGGAAATAAAACAGGTTTTGTTGGATTTTATCCGATCGCTCCAGCTGAGGTCATGTCAGCACAGTCAAAGGTGTGTAGATTCTTATCAAGTGGGGAACTACAAGTTCCCGTGTGGATAAACCATCACAGGACCTTTTATCTTTATTATTTATGAGTTTCAGGAAGACTCTACCAGAATTCAAATAACAGCTAAAGCAAAAGACAATTTTCTCCGTATGCAAAGCAGGAACAAACTTCCAAGCTTTTGCAGGTGGGTGGGAATGAGGTGTGTCTGCTTCTAGGCGCTTCTCTGGGGTTGATGCTCCTCTTAATTCCACAAAGAAGAAAAAAAATGATGAATGGTCTGACATTATCCCATAAGCTTGAGTTATGCGTTCAGCTGAAACGAGTGATGCCTTCCGGCGCTGGTTCTGTGCGTGTTACTGGTTGGTTTTAACACCTCTCCTCCCCATTCTCCTCCTCTCCCCCCGCTGAGGGTGCCAGGTGGCCCCTGGTGGCCCCTTCAGGGCAATTAAACTTGTGGGAGTGCAGATGAATGATAGCTGGTGATTTTGGCTCACAGATGAAACATCTACTTTTTATTAGTGTAATGTTTAATATAATGATGCTTATTTTGATATTAAAAGCTTTTATTTCCGTATTTTCATTAGTTGTTTTTTGCAGATGGTTTTTAACTGGAGAAGCTAATCGTGTAAGCTGCAGGGGAAAATGCCAAGAGGTGTAATATTAAACACTAGGGGCTGTATGTTAAAGCAGCAAGGAGGCTTTTACACAGTCTTTTCTTTTTCTTGCCACCTGGGATGATGCTTTCTGCAGATGAACTGCATGCCTCACCTGACGCAGAAAAGCAACCCTGAGAAAGGCTGTCTGACTCCCTGAGAGACACCTCGAGGCAGAGGTGAAGAGGGCTATTCTGGTGTGTTGTCCTTCTGTTAAGTGTCCCAGCTGATAGCGGTGCACTATTCCAGTGCCAGATGTCACAACAAGCTTGTGGGGGTCACCGGCCGCGGCGTCGTTGCTGTACTCACTCAAGAGACAAAGATGCAGTGTGCTGTTGGCTGTGTCATCTGGCCAGCTAACGAGCGAGGCTTGGGAGTCCTCGCCTGTCTATGAACCAGACTTCAGCAGAGGTCTGAAAATATATCGCTACAGGATTTGTTTTTGTTTTGTTTGGAGCTGTTTTAATGATGGGATAATTAAACTTCGCATTTTGGGGAGAAAAAAAAGTACAAGAGGCAGTATTTCTGGCTTTCCTACTAAGTTTTGATAATCGTTGATGCTGAAAGCTTTCCTTATGTAATAATTAGTTGGAAAGGGAAATTGAGGCAAGCAACTTTTAAATTGATCCTATGTTCCTGAGATGCATGAATCCCTTTCAGTCCTCTAAACTGGCTTAATTTATTTATTTCATAGACCAAACCCTAGCTTTGTTTTTTTCCTATCAAATAAAAAAGCATAAAAGTATGTTTAATCATAAAGTAGAAAGTATGTGTGGTTCTTTAATGAAACAAAATGATCGCTCAGGTAAAGATTAAGGTTTTCTTGATTTCCTTTTGTCAGATTAGCACATTTAGGGGCTGGAAATATTATTCCAATCTTTGGGTAGAGTAACCAAAGCTCATTTAGATTAATTCACCAGTTTTTTCTAGTTTTAATTGCAACACAATTCTCTTAAGAATTTGAATTCGGGCTTTGATTTGGCCTTTCTAAGTATGATAATGCATGGATTTTAATTTTCTTAAGTTCCTGATTGTCTTGTGAATGTGACCCCAGGTTATAGGTGTTTGCAGCATTTAAATGTTGTTTTTTAAATTCAGGAGTAAGCTCTATTTAGCTCCATCAATGATCTGATCGATTGAAGTGACGCTGTCTGTTAGATCACTTAATCAGCGTGGAAATTAAGCCAGTGAACAGAAACCTCTGGAAAAGCAGGATAGAAGCACAACTTTACCTGAAACTTTTTCTCTTATCTGCAAACATCAATGCAAAGAGAAAAGGTTTTTGTTTCACATCAAGTCAGTACAGTCGGTTTAAATCAGCAACAGAAAAATCAGATTTAAAGTCCGGGCTTTCCACAGGTGGAAGAACAATAGGGGGTAAAGTCATGTTGGCTGTGAGGAAAGTTGTCAGATTTTTTTGCAGTCAAAAAAGATGGTGAGTAAAACAAGAGAAGGGTGAAAATAAATCAGTTTTTATCTTTTATATAATTTTATTGCAGCCATGGCTTGAAGGCACGTTGCCTTGGACACAGTTTCTTACAAACTTGCATTGATCACTAAGAAGCATAAGCTCTTCCAAGCTAAACAAAAACAATATAATTATAACTAAAGCTGCAACTAAGGTTTATTTTGTAAATCAATCTGTCATGTATTTTTTCGATTAATAATTGGACAGCCAAAGGTTAAGCATATTGACAGATGAAAGTTTTTGTTCATCTTAATTGAAAAAATGTTGATTATATATACATATATTTTTACAATCTTGGTATATTTACTACTCTAAGTGGGTCACTCTGTCAGTTAAAGGCATGTTTTACAGTCTTTATACTCCATTAAATGATTAATCAATGACTAGATTAGTTGACTATTAATTGTTTCAGCCCTAATTATTACAGAAAAACCCCAGAAGAACTGTTTGTCCCTTTCGTACAGGCAAACTAGTTGCTCCTGTTGATAGCTGTGTTATTGAGTTGCTCATGTTTTCCCCAGCAGCCCTTTTCCATCCGACTCCTTTTCAGTTTTTAAAATGAAAATGTTTTCTTCCCTCTTAATAACAGGGATTAAGCATGTCTGAATTCTCTTTCTCTTTTACAACATTTGGACTTTTTTAGATTTTTTTTTTGTTTGTTTTAAAAAAAGTTTTTATTGAAATTGATTGTTTTTAATTTTCTTTTTTTGGAATTTAAATAAAGCTCCTATGCTATGCCTCTCTAATGCAAAATCCTGTTAATTTTTTGGAGTGCGCTCCTGCAGAGGAGTTCTGTTTTATTTTGAGACTAAAAGCTGATTGGTCAGTTCTAATGAGCTGGATTGATTTTAGAGGTGAGTATTGGCATGAGTGTTGCGATTCGATACATGCCGCAATACTTTGGCACGATACGATATTATCACGATATTGCAGTATCACTATATATTGCCATATTTTCCCCAGCTATTAAAATCAAATGATGAGATAAAACAGCAAGTGCTGTATATTTTCATCAGAAAATATTGATTAGGTATTATTATCCATGTTTTTTGGGTTTTTTTCCCACTGTGACTGCCTCAAATACAGATTACGTGCTGCATGTACAGTTAAAGGGCTCCACAGCGCTTTCTGCCAGAGCGGTGGTGCAGAGGTAGCCCATTTTCCCATCAATGTTTTATGTAACCATTTTTTTTTTTATCGATACTAAGAAGTGAAAGATCGATATTATATTGGGCAGCTGAATATCACGATATATATCCCCAAAACGATTATTTCCCACACCCCTAATTGATAGACAGGTGGTGTCACTTCAATTGAAAAGCTTCATCTGAGGAAACAATCTGCATGGCATGTGGCTGCCACAAGGCTTTTCCCCTCACACCCAAAACTTGATTTATAATGAAGTGCACAAAAAGAAGCCTTGGAGTCCCTCCCCGATTTAGAAAATACACAAAATACATTTCAGTTGAAGGCAATCGGTTGCACTGGACTAGGGCTGCAACTAATGATTTTTTTGCAAATCAAGTAATCTGTCTATTTTCAAATAATTGAAAATATTGATTTAATTTTTTTTTTTTTTTATCTTAAATGCAATTTTGGTATAATTACTGCTCTAAATGGGAGTGGCTCTGTCAGCTAAAGGCATGTTTTATAGTGTCTATTATCCAGTTAACCCTTCATCGGTTACTAAATTAGTTGACGATTATTTCCAGAACCGATTGTTTCGCTAGGCTGTGTGCTGATAAGGCATATCCAGCAGTGTGTGGCCTGATGAAGAGGACTACTGCATTGATGGCGATACCCATAGATTGAATAACAGACAAGTTGGTTGCTGAATTTTTATGTTGAACATGGCTGTTGCTGCACAAACGGCAATTTTTGACACCTTTGTAGTAGATGGAGCAACAAGAGGCCATAAAAAGTCATTTACAAACCTTGTTTGCCATCTTTACTAAAATCCAGTTGATCAGATAAGATGGACTTGGCGTACTCTATGGAACTAATGTTAAACATTAGTCAGCAGCGGCTAACTATGTCAGGGTCTCATTTGTCCGGCCTGATTGAGTTTCCATTTTGTCAGCTGGCGCTGGTTGTGCACTCCAGGAGTGTAGCTGGAAGGAAAGGACACGATCTACATCCATCTGATCACTAATGAAATTGCTGTTTGGAACTTCTCTGCATGTCTCTTTGTCCGCACCCGGTGGCCAAATCACTGCACCGGAAGTCCTTTTGATGCCAGCCTACCTGTAACCGTTATCTTCT